TTTCGTCACCCCCCTTCTTTCTCACTCCCCCCCTCCCCTACCTTTGCTGTAGCGTGGCCGAGCCCAGTATAGTCCGCGGGTACAGAGAGCAGCTGTCTCCTGTACCCGGCCGGACTAACAGGAAGTACACACTGAGTGTGCAGGAGACAGCTGCTCTCTGTACCCGTCGGACTATACTGTGCTGCCGGGCTCGGCCACGCTACAGCAAAGGGAGTGACAGGAGGGAGCGCTCAGCGCTTCCCTCCTGTCAGCCCCCTTTCTCAGGCTGCGCCCGGGCGGTGCGGTCCGCCCTCATGGACGCACCGCCCGGGCAAAGCTGCAGCCGCCTGAGGCTCAATACAGAGCGCTCGGGCGGCTGCAGCATGGGGGGGGCGGCGGAGCTGGTCTGGCACCCCCCACCCGGCTGGCACCCGGGGCGGACCGCCCCCCCCTTAGTACGCCACTGCTCTAGAGTAAAAAGAATAATAATAATAAAAAATGCCCCCTAGGCGCTATTATGCCAGATATTACCAGTCCCCATGTTATTAATATGCCTGCCTTCCCTTTTATGTTCTATAACATATATTAGAGGATCTACTCCTTAACCAGAGCCTTGGGGTGGTAAAGTTCAATCCCCAGCTGTTGTAGACATACAACGTTATAATGGTAATCATTTTTTTTTTCACTTTTGATTACCAGTAATACACCAGTAATACACATTTGATTACCAGTAATACACATTTGTAAATGTAGAAATACATATTTAACTTTTTTTTTCTGCGTTTGTTTATACATTTTATAGAGACATAATAAGTTATTTATAAATACAACTCCACATTTGACAGTTTACTAACAACTAATAATATAAGAATTGTTTTTGATCATGTCCTTTTAAATTGTAAATTGGTTTGTTGGAGAAGTAGATGTGGTATTTATTTTTGTTTTTGTATTTCCTTTTTATATTCAGCCTAATTCAACAAATAAGATCCCGCCATCTTCATTTCAACCCTTTCAATTCCCAACATGGAAACACAACAATAGAAAAAGAGCACATTTAACAGGTCAAAATAATACTAAAGTTCCACGTTTGCTCAACAATGTTACTTGAATGTCCTTTCTTCAGTGTACTTAAATGAGTTTTGTCTCTCCATCCTCATTAATTATGCAGGACAATTAGTTGAACTTGTGATACTTTGACAATGAATGTGTTGCTTGCATTCTAAAGCTTCCACCAGTCACATTAATAATGATTATGATAAGGACCTGGATTGAGCCGGTGGTTGTTGGAGCCCAGGTTGCTGCCTCCTTCTATGATACGGGGCTACTTATGACTGTGAGAAATCACTATAACAAAACTACATTGTCTTCTAACAGCTCTAGTGAGGATGCTCTACAGAAAGCCATCTCTAACTTCTACATAACATACAATGTGATCATGGGTTTAACCCCCATGCTGTCTGCTTATATCTTGGCAAAACTTGGAGAAAGAATTAGTGGAAAGATCTTAATATGCGTGCCTTTAGCAGGGTACTTGGTATCTAGGTTATTTTTATTATTCGTCATTCTCTGGGACTGGCCAATAGAGGTAATTTTTGGATCAGCTGCATTGAATGGTTTAACGGGCTGGTTCACTACCTATTGGGCTGGTGTGATGGCCTGGGCTTCACAGAGTTCCTCTGAGAGTAGAAGGTCCCTTAGACTCATTATCATTGAAATGGTTTATGGGCTGGCAGGGTTTGTCGGCAGCTTGGTATCAGGTCACATATTTATCGATTTAAATCTTGCGAAACGCCAAGGTGTCATCCTTGCCTGTTGCAGTACTTCTTGCTACGCATTCTGCGTCCTATACAGCATTTTCATTTTAAAGATGCCAGATTCAACAGTGATAATTGCTGAAAAAATCAATCATGAAAACGAACACGTCCAGGAAAATCTAAATGTTCCCATAAACTCTGAGTACACAGAACAAAGTAGATTGCTAGATAACAAGCTTATTGGAATATCAACACCTCACCGATTAAATGGGACTCCATCAAAGTTAATTCTTATTCTGTTGTTTATGAGTGCGATTCTATTAAATGTTGCCTCAATTGGAGCAGAAGATGTCATTAATGTATTTGTCTTAAAAAAACCTTTAAGTTGGGGCCCAGTTGAAGTTGGCTATGGTTATGCTGCATTATATGTAACATGCATCACCAGTTTCTTGGGAGTTCTGGTGTTCAGCAAATGTTTTGGAGATCCAGGCCTCATCGTTATTGGAATACTGTCCTTCAGTGCTGGGATCCTGATTATGGCCTTTGTACAATGGACATATATGTATTATGTTGGTAAGTAACAAGGATCAATAACTAACGAGATATTAATTTAAATATACAGCAATTTATGATAATTATGCTAATACCTGGAGAAATAATTCTAATAATTATCATATACCAGATATACTGAAACGATCGTCTGGGGTTGCTGTGTCTCTCGTGCAGAGGGAACTTGCTGGCATTTCGGATCTGGACTGCCTGTATGGGTGGGACCAGTCTGATATGTTTCAGAGATGTTCTTTCTGTAATGGCACAAGATGAGCTAAACCAGCTTGAGTTCTGAGCAGGGACCCAGCGAAGGGCAGGCTATTTCAGTTGCTGTCCGTTCTCAGAATACTCTTGCGACCCGTTTTTTGCTCTCCATATATCAGATATACATTAATATACTGGTGATGTCATTTGCAAGAACTCCATTTCAACCTTTCGCTTTCATGAAAATAATTTTAGAAAAACATTTAAGACATGGAACATATATTTACTTAACGGGAGACTGAGAGGGCATCAGAACAGAAACATCAGGACCAGAGGCGTTGCTAGGGTTTTGTTTTGCTGACTGAAGCCCTGGATGTAAAGCACCAAACACAACATTAAGCTGTAGTTGTTCCGGTGACTATAGTGTCCCATCAAAATTTACAAGACTAGGATCCCAATATAACCAAGTTTAACCAAAAAGAATCGCATGCCAGATGCAATTCTGCCCAACCACAGTCCCTAAATAGGAGAAGCCTTGCTATGGGTTTTATTTGGGGGAATGAAAGCCCAGATGTGTTGCTGTTAAGCCCCGTTTTCCTACAGGTGGTGAGAGGGCAGGATAATATTTTTTCTCAAAGCAACGACAATGTAGAAATAAAAAAATCTCTATTACTTAGTTTGCATCGGATTTTCCAGCCTGTGCAATTTCCAGCTCTGCTTTCATTGAGATCACTGTGCACAGCAGGTTCAAGCTGTGCTTGGCTACAGAGATGGGGACATAACATAGAAAGGCAGAATATTGATTTTCTTTTTAGGTGGTGTCCTCTGAAGACTTACAGGGCTGGAAACACATACCAGATATTCCAAAAAAAACCCACCTAGCCAAGCTCCCTGCATAATGTGTAGCTGGAGGAAAAGGGGAAACAAAAGGATGGGAGGAGATAGGGATAAGTAGTTCCATAGGGTTTAAATTGTTGATGGAAATCATGAACTGCTTGTCAGGGAAATTGGTGGGAGAGGTGTAAGAATATGATAAATGTAAGTGTAATTTACTTGTCACAGGAGGAGGTGTGACCTCCCCTCCCCTTCCAATACATCACCCAACCCCACTCACTCCACTGTTCTATGCTCATTTGCACCTACTAAAACAGAAGAGGTTTCTGCTCTGCTCCTGTCCTTCCACCCCACCACCTGTTCCCTTGAGCCTATTCCCTCATATCTCATCCGCATTCTGTCTTCGTCTCAGAAAAAATTTCAATCTCTCCCTTTTCTCCAGCACATTTCCTTCACCCTTCAAGCATGCAACTATAATGCCGATTCTGAAAAAGCCCAACCTCGACCCCAACTCCCCATCCAACTACGCCCTATATCGCGACTGCCATTTGCCTCCATTCCTGAGAGAGTTTTGTATGCAAGATTGACAGACTTCCTCGAATCCAACTCTCTGCTTGACCCGCTTTAGTCTGGATTCTGCACTTGTCACTCTGTTGAAACAGCTGTGACCAAAGTATCCAACGATTTAATCGCTGCTAAATCTTGCAGCCATTACTCTATCCTAATTCTCCTTGATCTTTCTGCTGCCTTTGACACTGTTGATCATCAACAGCTTCTTCTCATTCTCCATAATCTCAGTCTACGAGATACTGCTCTC